ACAAACAACAAAAGCAAAACAAACTATTAACATGCAAACTGATCCCACATACAACACAAGTACCTGTCCACACTAAACCATAGAACAAGTTTCAACAAAAGACCAGCAGGACACATATGATAATAGCAGAGCAACTTTGGGCTTCTTCCTCTGAGTTTGCAGTTTTTTTTGGTTGAGTCTATGCCTCAAGTATGTGTCCTCCACTTGAATCTCCACCCTCTGCCATCCTCTAGTTATCCCATCTTGCAGCCATTCTCTGATATCTTTAAGCTCCTGCACTCTCTCTTGCTACTGCTAGTTGAATTTTAGGCTCATTGGATGTATGAACTCCTAGGCAGTGGCTTCAATAAATAATGAAATTTTTTGAAAAGATCTCGCCATTTAATTAAATAAATAATTAATTTTTTTGAAAAGATCTCGCCCGACCAACGTTCATTTATTCTTCCCTTGCATATTCTACAAATGGGTGTTTTAACTAGAAAAGGAAAGACAACTTCCTTAGAATTAAGAATAAATAGCAAAATATTAGAGAGATTAAGGAGATTTATCCAGATTCCCATGCTAACAATAAGATCATATATTTTCGTGATGTGCAATATGGAGTGTAATCTATATTTTTTGCATTATTTACTTATTTTGGCGTTGATTTTGGTTCTTTAAGAGAAATTAACTCCCTTTGCTTTTGGTCTTTGTGTTGGTTTGTCATGTGCGGGATCAATTTGGGCTTTGCATTATTTGTATAGCATCAATTTGTTGCAGGTGAGTCACTTCTCATTTCGAAATTCCTTTTATATTTTTATCAAGTGAAATTGAAAAGGGTGCATTCAGTTGAAACTTTTAAAGATTTTTTAAAACTTTTTAAAGTGAGTGACTTTTGCGAAATTTTAGAGCATGATTGGATATAAGAAGTTTTTGTTTTGATTGGATTTTTGGTTTGGGTTGGTTAAATTTGAAAAAGTTGGTATGGTTAGTTGTTAGTGGGTATATTAAAATAATATTTAAAATAAAATGATTAAAATTAAATTGGTGTAAAAGTAGGAGAGAGAAGATGTGATGTGATGGTTAGTTAAAATTATGAGAGTTGATGAATAGTGAATTAAGGTTGATGTTGTGTGAGAATGATTGATTGATATTATTTTATTATATTGATAATATTGATGATAGTGGGGTTGAGTTAAAGTTAAGTTAAAAAAAGTGGTTGAGTTAAAAAATGATTGGATTTTTTGGATTGGATTTATATCCAATCATAACGACTTTGGTAGATTTTATGGTATTTTCATAGAATTCTTAAATGGGAGAACTTGTTTCACTAGTGTATCATAAGGAATTCGAACAACTTACAGACTTATAAAATTTTCATATATATTTTTTTTTAAATTTATTAAGACTTTTGTATACTTATTGTATAACTATTACGTTTGCCTAAAATATTCATAAAGTTGCATAATGACTAATATCAATAAAGTTAAGTTAATTTTTATTATTAAAAAATATATTAAACTGAAGTAAGTTCTTATAGTAATCACTAATCACCAAGAAGAAAGGAAAATAATAGTTTTACAGCATTCCAATTGTGTAAGTAAAGTTACAATTGTGTAAGTAAAAGAGAATAAATTAATTCTTTAAAAATATATGAATCGACCCTAAAATTATTATTCAAATAGAGCTATTCGCAAACACAAGTAAAAACTCAAGCTCGACTCATTTGTTTTTTTTAAATGATTCGATTTTGAACAACCAATTGTACTTGTTTTTCAATAGAATCGAAGTGAGTTGGTTCATGTAATATTTTTTTTTATTTGGTATTTCTTATGAAATACAAAATTATGTCGAATTTGTGTGGGAAGGTATTGTGTTTTCACGAAATTATTAAACGAGCCAAGCCAATTTGAGCTTTTGCAGCTTCAACAGGTCGTACTTGAGTTGCGCCTTATGTTCGTTTATTAAACAAGCAAATGCTCAAACATGAGTTACGTGTTTCAGCGACCAAGAACCGGTTTATCGATAGGTCCTGTTCGCTTAAATAAGTTGTTTGCTAGCGAATCAGTCAACACCAATATTGATACAATTCTTTAAATAATTTTTACGTTTAAAATTATTTATAATTGAATGAAAATATATATTTAAATAAAATGAATATTTATAAATTATTTATCGATTAGTTTAAAATTTTGAAAAGTTCAAAATTTTCAAATATTAATTAAAATTTTTAATATAAATTTATTACAAACATTGCTATATATATATATATACATATATTATATATATTAAAATAGTAATAAATTAATTCTTTTGGTCCAACTAATAATTAGATAATTAAATTTATCGGTTCGATGACAGTCCGATTATGAGAACCTTGGATTTGCCGTACATTAATAATAATTGTAGTACAGTATTATTTAGTTCACATAAGTATTAATAAAATGATATATAAATATTCCTAAATCATTGAACATATCATAAAAACATTCATGATTATTTGGAGTTTGGACTACATTATATTTATCATAATAAAGTTTTTTAATATTAAAATTTACAGTTGGTTTCAATAGTCGATTTGGTCTTGGCAAACTGACTTTGGTCACCCCGGATAAATCCCAGTTGTGTAATATTTTTTGGTTACTTTAAATATCGCTTAAAAATAGTTCAATCAATCTCAATCTAGACAGTAACCTAATTTAATTTATCCAAAGAAATTTTCTTATTTTTCTAAATATATTTAATTTATTAAAAAAATATTTTCCGATTCATGTAGTAAATGTTTATAACAAATGACAATATATTAAGATTATAAATTATATATATAAATAAATTAATTATTTCTTACTTTATGCATACTAAGTACCCGTGCGATGCACGAGAGTATTTATTATCTACTTGCTCTTTAAACGGTATTTTTGTATTTAAATTGTATTATGACATTAAAAATATAAGGAAAATGAAATTTATATATTATTGAACACTTTCTTATGTACAACATTTTTTGTTTGATTCTTTGACACGTAAAATACTACATTAGTGTTCGAATTTTATCTAAAATTATGTATTGAATTAGTTAACAAATTACGTTTTGAAAAAAATTAAGAGATCTTATTTATTAAACAAATTTCGAGTAAAAATAAAGTAGAGATTTTTAGAAATTTTCACGCCATTTTTTTTTTTTTTAAATCTAATTCAAAATTTTGATTAAGAAAAACTGGAAAGAATAATTAGAGGGCGATTTGATATAGTTTCAATAGTAAAAAAATCAATCAAAACTCAAATTTAACCTAATTCCACTATTTCCAATATTATCAATTTAATTAAATAATATCAACCAATCATTCTTACACATCACATCAACTTTATTTCACTATTCATCCACTCACATAATTTTAACTAACAATCACTTCGAATTATTTTTCTCATACTTTACATCAAATCAACTTTAGTTATTTTATTTAAATATTATTTTAATATATCCACTAACAATTAACCATACCAACTTTTTTCAAAATTAACTATAGTTAAAAAAAAAATAAAATAAAAACTAGTTGAATCCAGAAACAATCACCCCCTTAGTTTTTCCTAAAAATGAAACTGAATTTTTCTATTATTGCACAAATTTTTTTACCAAACAAATTGATTGAATATTTGGTTAAAACAAGGTGAGAAGAATCATAAATTTTTCTAAAAATGCAACCGAATATTTCTAACATTGCACCGATTTTTAACCAAACAAATTGAATTGAAATTAATTCTAATAAAAAATTAGAATATTTTGTTAAGATTTATGCAACTGTTTCTTTCCTAAAAAAATTGATATGAACTTGACAAGAAAATTGATATGAACTTACTAAAATCTCGGTAAAACATGGTTAAAAAAACATAAGAATCCAAAAAAAATCGGTGCATTTAAATTTTCAAAACTTGAACACGATTTTTCCTTATAGAAGTTTCACACAATTTTGAAATATTTTGGATTTTTTTCCTAAATAATTGGATAAGGTTTTACTTTAAATATTAAAGATGACCCGATTTTGTTACCAAAAAATGTGGATACGATTTGAGTGTGTATCTTGTCCAAATCTCAATTTTGTTTTAAAATGAAAAATTGCACGTGGTTTTATCCAATTCGCACACAATTTTTGAAAGAAAAAAATATTCAAAATGATTGGAAAAATTTGTTGAGAATTATACAACTATTTGTTTCCTATATTTGCAGCTAATTTGTACGATTTTTAAATCAATTTGTATTTGAATTTGTTTTCATAAATAATTGACGCATTTGTGGCATAAGGATCTCCAAATTTGTTACAAAAGAAAAATGAGATTCAAATTTTGATAAAAAATAAAAAATGATACAGAAAAATAGGATTCAAATTTTGGCATAAGAATCTCCAAAGTTGTTACCAATAAAAATTGGATTCATATTTAAGAAATGAATTATAAAATTTTCACTAATAGTAAGTCAAACCATTTATTTTTTAGTCAAACTTACTATGAAAGTATTTTTTCAACAACCTTTATATATACATATAGATTTATTAAAAAAATGAACACAATAATTTTAAAAAATTTAAATTATTGATTAGTTATGCAATTGAGACGATGACTTGATACCAACATGATTTTACTACATAGCAGATATACTTTGCATATTAATTAATTTGTTTGTAGTATATTATTCATAAGTTATTAAATATCATAAACGGATGGTGTTATAACGAAGAAATTGCTTTAAAATAAATTATATTCTCATTTTATATATAATCTAAGACAAATTGTTATAATTATTATTTTGTATATTGTCAAATTATTTATAAGTCAATTAGAGTCATCTTGCAATATTCATTATAATTGTAAAACAATATTATTTTTAAGAAAATATAGAATGCTAAAAAGTAAAAAAGAGAATAAATAACAAATTTTACAGAATTTCATTCTTTCATTTAGTAACTAAAAGTGTTTTGAAAAATTACACATACTATTGAAATGTCAAACCCCTCTCTCTCTCTCTCTCTCTCTCTCTCTCTCTCTCTCTGTGTGTGTGTATATTTATGTAGATTCTAAAAGTCTTTTAAGAATTTCACATACTATTGATAAAATGTTTTTAAGAATTTCAATTGAATACACCCCTCGGCAATCAAGTTTGGAGTGAGATATATTTCCTATTGACTTTAGGCAAACAGAATCTTTAAAGCAAGCACTTCATAGTGATTTCTGCGGCCACCATTATCTTATATAATCCAAATGCCTTCTTCTTTCGCTAACAAAATACAACTATGTATATCTTTTTCTTTGTGTTAATATTCTAGTCACTGAATGGACTGGTGGACTTTATATATCTCCAACAATTGCTGGGAGCAGGCCTGGTGGCCTGATTGCTGGGGCTTGGGCAGCAATGATGTCTCTTGGTCTAGAAGGTGATTTGNTTTTTACCATTGGTGATCTTTATCTGGAGTTAGTTGCATGACGAAGGGCTAATTTTTAGATTTAAGATGAACAGGTTATTTGGAGAACACAAGGAAGATTATGGAAGCTTCAAAGCGAATAGAAAAAGGGTTGATGTCACTATATATATATTCTTGTCTTTTCAATATAGATCTATGCAGCTATGCTTATAATCATGATGGCCTTAATAACAGAGTCCGGGAGATTTCAGAATTGTTCATTATTGGAAGGCCAGATATGACAATTGTGGCTTTTGGATCTGACATTATGGACATATTTGAAGTGAATGATATTATGTCATCAAAAGGATGGCATTTGAATGCTTTACAGAGGCCTAACAGGTAAAAGCCCTTGCTAGAACAATATATTCTGAGGAACGCGAGGCATAAAAAGCTACAAGTATATTACTACCTTTTCAACTCATATTGATATTAATACCGATTCAATTACAAGTCACTATTTATATAGTTTTATGGGATTATATATTTTTATAGCTTTTATCTCCTACTCGTAGAAGATTTTTGTTGAGATCATTTTCCAATTGTCCGTCTTATCAGCATTCATATCTGCGTGACCCTTCAACATGTGAGTGTCGTTGAAGATTTCCTGAGGGATCTGCGAGATTCTGTGCAAACTGTAAATGCATTATTTTTCTATAAATCATTACCTTAAAAAATTTTGTTGGTAGAAATAGTGGCTCTAACTTCTTAGAATTTCCCACCAGGTTAAGGAAAATCCGGGTCCAATTAATGGAGGACTTGCTCCGATATATGGTGCTGCTGGGAAAATGCCAGATAGAGCTTTGGTTCAAGATTTGCTTGTCGATTTCATGGACAGTGCATGCTAATGCCTACTTTATTCATGTTGCTCGGCTTTCTTTGTTCTATTTTCAATATATTCTTTATTGGGGATCTTTACCAAATTGACGTTGGACCTTTCCTTTTTTTTTTTTACGATAGACTATTAATTAATTGACACAAATATTTACAGATTAGAATAGTTCAAGACAACTGAATCAACCATCTACTAAACTGGAATACTCCGAGGTAGCAATCATCTACNCTAATAGAATACTACCTCTCTTGCTTCTTGCGAACTAACCGCTATGATCACCCAAGCTAGTCAAACTCCACAATCGAGAAACTAGAAGTTTCAGAGGACTCAGAATCAAAACTCTGGTTTACTCAAGCGGCTAGTCAGATCTAGCGAGGAAACAAGTTACAACCCAGATATGAGCTCTCGTAGCGTTCAGTCGGGAAAGAAACAAACGTCGGGGGTTTGGGAGGGGTTGCAGTGCCTCTTTTTTTCTTCTCCTACGAAGAAGATTTTTGAGAGAGAAATAGTTATAATGTCGTATTTTTTTAGGGAATGATTCCCCCAGTCCTTGATCTTCCAGGCACTTCAAAAAGTGGGAAGATGACGAAATAGATGTTGTGCATCTCTTCACTCTCCTTATGGTGGGCAATATCTCGAATCCATGTTATCTTGAACAATGTTATTCATTTCAGTGTTTTAAATACCGTATCGGTCATAATATCGGACGAGCCACCGGTATGCGGTTCAACCGGTTTTACCGTCTATTTTACCAGTATTAATAAACATTGAATTAATTTGTTATTACAATATAAATAATGTACAAAACTAACTTTAATTAATACTAAAATTAATTAACATCTAATAACAATGTAAACATATTAAAATAATGTGTAAAACTTTCAATTTATATTAAAAATTAATAAAAATATTTTAAAAATATATTTTTTTTAAAATGGCATAAATCGGTATTTTGACCAGTATCTTGGTCGATAAAACCGGTATTTTGATAAAAAAACGGTATTTAGAGTGTAATCGTACCGGTCGGACCACCGGTATCCGATATTACCGGTAATACCGGCAAGTACGGTACGGTATTTAAAACATTGATTCATTTTACACCCAACTCCTATAATTGAGATTTGTGTACTTTTTATGTTCTAAGCATGAATGATCTTTCTTCTTATTCATAGATGAGGAACGTCTGGTTTGGATATGTTATTTATAAATTCAATAACTTCGTCGTTTGGAGGAAAGTTAACTGAATCACGTCGTTTGGAGGAAAGTTGACTAAGTTCTTACACACATTAATAGTTAATCTATGACTAAACAGAAAATGAAATGTATTACTGGGGAAAGAATGATTTTATATAAATACTTAAACAAGTTGAATACACATAGAAATAGATTTATGATTAACTGGAATGTTGTTAATTGGTTGAAGAACAATGAGATTTTTTTTTCAAACGTCCGGGATGGATGAAGATTGAGTCCAGATTCCTAACATGTAAATAGATCAAAACCCTAATTGGGGCGAATACCAGTTTATGATATAAAAGAGGTCCAAATGAAAAAAAAAAAGAAAAAAAAATCAAAATATAAATCCGGGCTAACAGGTGCCCAGTGATAAAATGTGCACCGCAAATGTGGGCTAAAGCATAATCAAAACAAAAAAACTAGTCATGTTAAACCTGTGGGTAGGATTTTATCCGGCATAATAATAAAGTCGAGTGGCACCAGTTTTAGAATAAAAAAATATTAATTACTTACATTGCCAGTAACTTAATTAATTAGTGGATTTTTGATACCATAAACATGGGGAGACAAACGAGCAGGGACGGAGCCACATGGGGCTCAGGGGGGCTCGGGCCCTCCTCAATTTTTTTTCTAAAAATATATATATATATATATATATATATATATAAATATATATGTATTATATATTATCAATATCTATATTTATATATAAAAAAAATTATACAATATGTATATAAATGTAAAAAATATTTACAATATATTATTAATTAAATTTTTTTTCTATGCTATTTTAATTTAAATTATAGTATTATTTATTTATTGAAAAATGTACTAACCATCTTTATATTTTACATTTCTAGATAAATTTTTGAAAATGTTTATAATGTTTTACTCTTTTGGTCTCTTAATTGTGAATAAATTTAGTGATTTATAAAAACGAGTATTTAATTTGATAGTTATATTTTTTAATGTTGATTTTTTTTTTTTGTTTTGTGTAATCACATATTTTTAACTTCATTGTATTTCTTAAAAAAATGTTCGTTTGATAAGCTTTCGTCAACAAAAATGCTATGCAATATACTACAAAAGTTCAATTTATATCAATTTTTAACCAAAAATAAATTAATTTTTTTTTATAAATTATAGTTGTTGAACATAAATTGTAAATACATGAAATTTCATAATTTTTTTTTTTAAAAAAAATTGAGGGTGATATATATTCTAAGTTTTTAAAAACTTGATGATACACATTTCGATATTTATATTTATAATAAATATATTTTTATATAAAATGAGTGTTTCGACTTAAATTACAAGTTCGTTATTTAACATTTAAAATCAGGCCTCCCTGAAAAAATTTCCTAGATCTAAGTTTTTAAAAACTTGATGATGCACATTTCGATATTTATATTTATAATAAATATATTTTTATATAAAATGAGTATTTCGACTTAAATTACAAGTTCGTTATTTAACATTTAAAATCAGGCCTCCCTGAAAAAAATTCCTAGATCCGTCACTGCAAACGAGCATATAAAAAATTACAGGTCATACATAATTTGAATTTAAGAAGGTATTTCAATAAATAACTCTTTACAGTTATTATTGAGGGTAAGGTGTAGAGTTTGATTCAGAATCAGTATACCTAATCCTCTCAGGAGAAACCAACCCTGATACCTCCTCAAGGCTACATTTTCATCAGAAGGACGAAAATGGGATCTTGTAATTTAATGATAGATTAGAATTGGGCATTGCCCTAATTGAACGTTTTGATTATTTATGTTTGTCTTATTTTTGTTATCTTTTTCTTTGTTGGTTTATTGATTTTTGGCCCCCGTTGTAGGTCTTTTGATAGGATTTTCTGTCTTCCAGTCGTTGTTTCTCGTGTGTTTGCCGTTATTTCTTTGTTTTCGTATTTTCTGTTGTTTTTTCTGTTTTCGGGTGTTTTCTTGTTCTTGGAGGTGTGTAGGTTCGAACATTTAACCAGGTGTTTGGAGCTTATCCAGTCGAGCTGTCCCTGTTTTACAAAGTGCATGTCCTATCGATGACGTACGAGCCTTTTCCCAGTTGCCACGCCGCGGTACTTCACTTCCTTCACAGCGCGACGACGCACGCGGCGCCCTTAACTGGCCTACAGAACCCCTTTCTCAAAAGCCATGCCGCGGTGGCTCTCGCGTCGCGGCACTCCAGCTCTCTCACGCCGCAAGCACTCACGAGGGACGTCTAACGGGCCGACAGAGAATGCCACGTTTCCAGGTGCCACGCCGCGGCAGTTCAGTTCTTCACGCCATGTCCAAGCCACGACAGTCCTCACACCCTGCCACGTCAACACGCCGCGTCGCGGCGCCAGAGAGTGTCAAATTTCAGATCTGATTTTATATGCGAATTTTCGATTTGATATAAAAAGGAGATGGAGCCTAGGAAATAACTTTCATTTCAGACTGTGTAAAATTTCGTTTTTCTCTCGAACACAAACATCCTTTCTCTTAGTTTTTCACTTAGATTCAATCTTGGAAGGTGAAATATTCAAGATTAACCTTTCGGATATGGGAGAGCACTTGGATTCGACACTTTGATTTTACATTAATCGTAAGCATTTCTTTTCATTTGGATTACGACTATGATGGCATTGCTTGATGTGATTTTTGATGTTGAATTCATTATGAATTGCTAAATTCATTAGCTAGGGTTAGGGGATAATTGTTACCGGTTCGTTTTCGTTTATGTGTATGTTGATTACTCAATCTTTGCGAGTTGTATTAGTCCTAGGGTTAGATGATTGATCACCATCTTAATCTAGTTAGTCGATTTTTAGGACCGAAAGGGGAGGAATCGATCGATCTAGGCTCATTTAGAATAGGCCTGTTCGTAGTGGTATTGTCTATGTGTTAATTGATTCGATAATTGTTCGTTTATGTTTATACTCTTGTTACGAAAAATTATTGAGGACAAATCTCTAGACGAGTTAGTTTTTCGAGTTCTTTAACGGAGCATTTGATTCCCGATAAATGTGTTTAGAACCGAAAACGATTATCTCCGATGCCCTAGCCTCTTTATCACTGTTTGAATCGTGTTTAAAGTTGAGAAAGCTAATCTGCTCCGCTTAAGAATCTTTAGTTGATAATTGAAATCCAAACCAATTGAATTAGAGGGTTTAGGATTATTTTCTCTTTCTGTGACTAAATATTCGCACAATTTAATCCGACTAACCTTCCTTAAGACACGACCCGGAGATTGAGTCATTTGATTTAACTGCGATAAAAATAACTACAACAATTTATAGGTTGAATCTTTGGAAAATATGCACCCTATTTAGGCTTACGTGATCAAAGACTAGGTATCTATTACTTTATTGACTTGTTGTAGTACATGGTTGGTGTAGTTGCTCAATTATGTTCTAGCCTAGCATTTGATTGTTCAATTTCATATTTCTAAACACAAAGTTTTTCCTTTCCATATTTGAGTCTTTGGTACTTAGTGTTCTTTTTATTTTCTTTTAGTGGGACTAATGACTTTCTTGCTTTCACTTAGTTTAGATGCACTCTCTTCAGTTTGATCAACCCTCCAAACTTACGATGAGTGTGTAGGATTTATTGATCGTCCTTGTGATTGATCATAGTCCAAATCCAATTTCGAACAACCTTCTCTAGATCATAGTCCAAACCCAATTTCAAACCCTCCTAGAGAGACTACCCGATGTCAAAAACATACTTAGCTTAACGGCTAAACTACTTCAAAGTTATGCTAATGAATTTACTAATTTCATTTTTTCCATAATTTGAAATACGATTTATGCAAGAACCAATGCAGCCTTACGATCCAAAGAAATATGAAGAAATTGAAATCGAAATTTGAACATGGAACCTTAACGACACTTCTTTTTCTGTATTTTTTTATGTTAAAGGAGGGTTTGTTAAATGAAGTTATTGGAAGGGGAAACTCACTGAATTAGTAAGAGAAACTTGCTTATTTTTTTAATTATTATTATTATTTTTTTTTTTTTAAAATTTGTTTGTGTGGCCCTTTATTCATGNTGCGATAATTAAAATAAAGCAATCCTCACTGAAAAAATATTAGACAGAAAGATCACAATTTCATCAAGGCAACTTAGGAAACACAAACCGTCCTACCAAAGCCCGATAGCATTTACTTGGGAGAAGGATAATATGTTAAGTACGTGCTTGTGAAGGTTTCTTGGAGTTATTCTTCCTGCGGACCTTGACAAATGCATTTTCCAAGTCCTGCAAGTATTTCAAGTACTGCAAAACTCAGCCACCTAAAGCAACAATATAACTAACTCCTCGTGACAATTTTATATGCTGAGAGAACATTGTAAGCAGTCAAGCCAATAGTGCAAGTCATTGACATTAAAAATAAGGTAAAAGTTCACCTGAGTGTTTTCAATGTCTGGTGTGCCTGAGCTCCAAAGTCCCTCAAAGTTGTAATAAGCTCTTGCATTCTCATCGACAGCATGAACAATCAGAGTACCTACCAAAATGCTCAGTTTACATTTTCTGCCAAAAGGTTCTCATGCGCATTATTAATATATAATATCTATTTGCACCATTGGAGATGTCTAGAAATTCCTTATTTATTTTATTGCTCAATTAATCACACAATAGTATTTTTCCTCAATCATTTTGTAATTTTTGTTTTTTATATTTCTGTTTCATAAGCACGTAAGATGTAATAAAACGAACAAACAAATTCAAAAGAATTACATAGAGATCATGGGATGTAGTAAAATAAATAGAAGTATCGGGCAAACCAAAATCTTGGATGGTTAATATCAGGAATAATGTATTAGCATGAAGTTTATTTTCGGAACTACGAAAATCAACCATCTACTTCATGATTCGGTATAAACTCAGAGAAATATGCCTGTAATATTCACCCACATCTTTTACGTTCCACTTGCTGCTGCTACAGAAAGAGGCCCTACTGCCACAGTGAACTAATGAAGATTCTAAACCTTTAACTTGCCAAGAGAAAACTAATCTTTGGTTCCTCTCTGATATTAGGTTGTTTGTCTATTTTTAAATTCATCACCATATTTACCCACTTACGGACCTACTGCCAAAGTGAACAACTCAAGTAATCAATACCATTTAACACACCAAGGGAAGGCTATAAGTAGGTAAAATTTGGTGATCGTATTGAAAAATAGGGCACATACTTACTAATACTCTTTTTTGGCAGGAAAGCTAGAGAAAGAAAACCCTGTTTGATGTGGCATAGAGCTACTTTCAGTTGTAGGGGAATATAGGAACGACTTTGCAGCTATACGAGGACACAGAATTTAGTGCTAATCTATTCTGCTGGGTATATGCACTCCTTGTCTAGCATTAGAACCAAGATATCGAGATTGTGGCTTCTCTTTTAAATAAAACAAATAGCCAAAACCAAAGACCATAAAAGTTGTATGACATCATAAATCAGCTTGAAATGATAAAAAAAAAAAACCTGCAGTCCCTTTGTACTGGTGAATAAGAACAAAGATATTCTGAGCTCAAGTAAAAAACGGATCATTCTATATTGGTTCAATGTCAATTTTCAAATTTAACAACTGGAACAGAATTCAACACTCACTATTTATGGGATCAACAGATAATAAGTATTTGCAAGCTGCACCATCCTATTGGGTACGCACCATGTTTATACACAAACTGGAAACTACAATCACTTAGCTTCACATACATTCTTGCTTCCTCCTGCATAGGCTCCAAAGGTTTTTCTATGAAATATAACGCATTATTCCTTTCTGTTGGCGCAAGTCCTCACCAAGTAAAAATATCTTTCAAGATCAATGATTCTGATAGGTCAAAGTATATGTGCATTTATATACATAATAATGTATTTTTTAATGCGTTTTATTTTATCACTTACAATTTTCGCTGAATAGTTTCTTGGATAGACTTCAGGTGTTCTCATATTTTTATGATTTATTTTCAGCACAATGCAGTATTTAAGATGCGCATTTCAGCCCGGAATCGGGCGCCTTAATATCAAGGCAATTAAGACCCAAATAGTGACCCGCTAATCTTGTTAGTTAGCCCCATAATTTAATTTTGATTAGGACTGCTATTTATTTTCCGATTCAAGGAGGCCCAAAGAGGTTGAACTCAATTTGGAGAATCAAGAAGGAAACCAGGACAACACTCCCAATCAGGATATAAGAATTAATGCACAATACAAAAGGAGTCTTAGAATGCAACACACAGCAGCCCGGAGAGACCACAAAGCCGCACACAAGAAAGGAGAATTTTTACTCATTTATTTATCTCTATTATGTTAGGTTAGATTAATCTATTCCATGTGAGCTGATATTTGAAACCTAACTTTGATGTTATTTATCTTTTGATTAATTAAGAGTTATGACGCCATATTTATTCTTGTTGATGTTGATTTATGTTATCAACACTTCTTATGAACAATGGATGTTTGATTTAGCTAAGCTAATCTTGTTACGTTGATTTTCAGGATTTATTCGGAACTTAAAACAACTCTTATTGATCTCTTTTCAATACAAGTTAATTAGGGGTCGCGCATCTCTGAGTAGCATGATCATAAATTCATACAGTTTGAGTGTGTGTGTGTGTGTGTGTATCTTATTAGACTAATCTATTTCCCTAGGAATTAATTTTTTTTATGTATTAAATCTATAGAGTTCTAGATTGTCCGCTTTTTATTTAGTCAAAAGATTTATTTCGATTAAATATAATTCAGTTAACATGGTTTGCTGTTAAGTACGGATGGTAGTAAAATAGCAATTTAGTGTTGCGACTAATTATAGGTAGACCTACATTGGGTGATAATTGTTCGAGAACTGAATTTATTTAGCTTTTCTTGCTTTCAATACATTTTTTTTGTTTCTTAGTTAGTTTAGATTTCATTCTATCATGTCCAACCCTTATTGCTTTTCACTGTTTTAGTAGTTTATTCCAATCAATATGAAATAGTCACAATTTTATTTCTACTTTCTGTGGGATTGACAAGTCGCTACTACTAGTTAATGAAAGTTAGTGAGGAAAAATATGACCCAATTCATATTTACATTTTCAATCTTCTGAGTTTAGCAAAGTAAAGTGAATGCAAAAGGGATAAATTATTGACCTAGTAACAGTATCAATGTAATCATATTCTAGTTAACAATTATACATAAATCTACATTTTGAAAATGTGTTCTGCAGTAATCATTTTGCTTAAATGATCAACATAGATTTAACTTCTGGATACTATTACCTTAAGTGTTAGCGAGATTCATCCATGGCAACATAAAATGATGACCTGATTAAGGTTAGAAAATTATCGGATGAAAATCTATACCAGCGTCTATGACAGCCCATTTCCCTCCTCCTTCACCAACGACAGCGGGTAGTATCATTCTCTTTGCTCCTTTCTGCTTCTGCTTAACCTGCTCATTTGAACAGAACGAATATTCAAAAGTATCTGTTTTTTCTTGCTTCAGAAGAGTACAAATTGACAAAAATTACTAGCTTATCACATGCCATGCACAATAAATCAACACCTAGTGATGAAAAACTTTTATAATGACCAATATATCATGTCTAGAGTCCCAGGCAACAGAGAATTATATGAAAAGGAAAAAAAATAATAATTAAAGTTAATTGCTTTTCCACCATTTCTGAAAACTGATTGGGAACAAACAGCATAGGGATGAGCAGACTAGACCTGCAAAACTACTATCTAACTGTGCAGCCAGCTATACTTAGTTGAACAAAATTAACCACTTAACCCTGTGCAAATAGTTGATTAGTCTAACCGTTTGTTCTGGAGAAAACAAGGCAACAGATTTATAAAATATTATATCAGCCTAGTCAATATAAAGGCCATGTATAAGAGAAACACACCAATACAATAAAGGAGCTATATTACGCCAAAATAAAAATGGTTAAGCATTTGCGCCAACAATTTTGTATTTGAAAATAGAAAATAAGCTGGGATATCATCACCTTTTCCCGAACAAATAAAACCTCCACAACATAAGAATTCATAACATCATAAGTATATCTTTCATATATTCTTTTATAGTTGGATTAAGAAGAATTCCACTACCCTGTCACAGCTGAAAATTGCCAAACAAAAAAAAAGGAAGTAAACGAAAAGGTGTGCCATCTAATGACAGAAAGCAGTAAATTTGAGCGCATAGAAATCAGTCTTTACAACCGAATGACATTCACACTCACATACACACGGACGTGGGTAAAACGAACCTGCCTTGTAAAGGAGGGCTCGACAAATGTTGCGCACGTGCCATGGAGATCGACCAGTGGCGACGACCATGTAATCGGTAAATTCACACCCACTGGGAGCAGGAACAACTTTCACGTCATCAGCTCTGATGTCGTTGAGAACTTTCTGAACTTCCTCCAAACTCAGGAGCTCTTTCTTCTTCTCGATGCCGTTTTCAGTTCCATTGGAATTTAGGGGGAACGAAGATAACCAGCGAGTGAAGGTCGAAGAAGAAGAAGAAGAAGAAGAAGAAGGGGCGAGGTTTTTCCACTGCTTAGTGACGGTAAAAGATGAAGAAGACAAAAATCGAACTCGGAAAGCTGACAGCATGATGTCCCCGATGAACGCCGCCCGTCGCCAATCGGTATTTCCTAGGGTTTGCTGGTAAAATAGGCTGAAATTTTTGGAGGAAAATTGGTAGTCAAAACCACGATTATTCAAATTTACCCACAAAATCATATAAATTCAAATTAAGGAGCATCTTTAGTGGCAGGTTTATAAGGGCATCTCCAACCATGTTATCTATCTATACAGTTTCTACAGTAAAATTTCATTAGTTTTACAATTTCAAGTATCAGTGTCAGGAACGGAACCTATTCCCTCTATAATTCTCTTCTAAAAGAATATTCCAAACATATTTTTTTTTTAATTTTATTAATTTATTAAATACAATCTACAAATTATATTTTAATGCATATATATTAATTATTGATTAATAAAATTAATTAATAAATTTAAATCAAAATCATAAAATTACACACTGCATCATAAAACCACGTAGATTATATCACAAATAGACGAAAAACTGAAAGAATCGAGAAAAACGAAGTCTTGGACGCTCGAACTCGTCCGCGACAAATTTGCTCATTTTGTTACTATTCATCCGTGAAACTTGAGCTTCTCTAATTAAATGGTAGGAACTCCGAAATACTCGATAAATGGCTCGAATGGAATCGTGCCAAAAAGGTCTACACTTCCCGACTCGTTTCTTGGTAAACCGAAATCCCACACGACCTTGCGGGGTCCACGTAAACGGCTTTTTCATTTATTTTACTAATATGCACCCTCGAACTCGAGCTTCTCAAAATAAATGCTCGGGGCCTCGAAATACGAAATAAACGCATCGACCGACTTCTCCTCTTCTCGTGCTTTCACGGAAACACTCTCGTTAATGCTCGGCCCGCCTATCGAGGGCCGACGGGGTTCCTGAAGTCGCGACATAAAATGGAGCTCATATTATGAAAAATGGAGAAATAAAATCATCTGTTGCTATCTTCTTCTCGCTACACCGTCCCGACCTCCGGCTGCTGCTCGATGGTCGTCGAATGGAGATGCTGAACGAACAGGACCTTGCTGCTGGCGAGGAAAAATATATAACAAAATATAATCATCATCACAAATTCTTTAACCAAAAAAAAAATAAAAAATAAAAAAATAAAAAACCTAAGCGGGTGAACAGTGGAACGGTTGCCAAACCGTTCCACAAATCATAGCGTGGCATTTCCGACAAATAAAGAGAGCCCGTTGGAGATTCTTTTCCTCCACCTGTGCTGTTTCCTGCTGGTTTACAGGCCCGGTTAGAGATGCTATAAGAGGTTTACAAATAAAGGTGAAGATTTGAGATTTACAATCTTCAACCAGGTTTTCCAATTCAAACCTCCTCTAGACCTCTTTAAAAATTAAAAAAAAAAGTAAAAAAATAAAAAAATAAAAAGCAATAATAGAATGGAAAGTGTAGTGCACAACAAAAATTCCTATATGGCACGTGTATCTATGCTCATCAAATCACGTGAGGAGTTATGGGCCTATATGTTGCCTTTGTCTCCAACCATTCTTT